ACAGGTGTAGTCCTCTTCTCCAAAGATAGGGCTCCATCGGTGGCCATTATGCAGCTTCCGAGGCTCCTGAGCCCCCTTCCCCCCACCTTGGGCCCAGTTTGTTCTGTTGCATGCTTTAGCATGCTTTTTAGAGCATTTATTCAAGAAGTGCAGATTCGCGACCCAGCTTACTTGGACTGATTTCTGTCCTTCCCTCTGCTTATCTGTCGCCTAAGGGCTTGGCCCCAAGTGCTAGAACTCTTAGTTCACAGACATTTTTCTGTTGATGAAACTTTGTTTTCTGAAACAGCATCTCGAAATGTAGGCCAGGCAGACCACGAGCACAAGATTCTCCTGCCTCAGCTTTTTCAAGTGTACCGACTTTGCCTTTGTTTTTGAAGGGTTCACGATAAAAGGGAGAAACAGTCAAAGTTATCTTTGATGTAACTGGTCCCAGTGGGGTCAATTGATTGTAAAAGGCAAGGGAAGAAAGCATGGTGATCTGTAAAGAGATTATTGCAGTAATCCATGTGAAGGATGATAGTGCTGTCAGCCTTTTATTACTGAAAACTTTAAAAATGTACAAAAGTAGAAATATTAACATAGTAAGTTCCATGTACACATTTCTTAGTTGTCTCTATCAACTCATAGCTAACTTTAATTCACAGCCCTTACAGTACTCTACCATGATTTTTTTTCCTCTTTAGAAAAGATGTTATTTTATGTGTGTGGGTGTTTTGGCTGTGAGTATGTATGTGTACTACATGCTTGCCTGTTGCTAAAGGAATTCAGGAGAAGGTGTGAGGTCCCCTTGGATTGGAGTTGCAGATGTTTGTGAGCCACCATGTGGGTGCTGGGAACTGTCTCTGCAACAACAGCAAGTGCTCTTAACCACTGAGTAATCATCTTTTTTGCTCCACCCATTATAATTTTCAAAAACAGCTTTCTTGAGACATAATTTGCATGCTGCACCATTCACATTTAAAAACTAAAAATATTTACTATTTGTGTGTGTGTATGCATGATGTGTGTGGAGTGTCATGGCCAGAATGTGTTCTCAGGTTTCCAGGCTTGCATACCAATAGTTATCCACTGAGATGTGTCACTTGCCCATAATTCAAAATTTTTGGAGAGAGTCTCATGAAGATCCCTTCTTTTTGAGTTTCTCATCCTCCTGCTTTTACTTCCTAAGTACTAGGATTTACAGAAGTACACCACCACATCTGGCTACAATTCACGTATTTAAGGTGTATAATTCAGTGGTTTTTAGTGGGTTCATAGGAGTGTGAAAACATCACTAATTGCGGAACATTGTCATCATCCCTAAAAGAAATCCTAAATAAGAAACTCCAATCCACCTCATTTCTCTAAGTAACCACTAAACTACTTTCTGTCAGGATTTACATGTTTTGGATATTTCTTATGCTTGTAAGTATATACAGTATATAGCTTTTAGTGACATTTCTTTCTCTTAGCAATTATTTGGAGCATGTGTTCTTGTTTTTGTAACAGATTTTGCTTATTCATCAGTTGGTGGACATTTGGATTGTTTCCACTCTGGCTGCTTTGAATAATGCTGCTGTGATCATTTATATATGGACATGTGTTTTCATTTCTATTGGGTTTATCCATAGGTATCTCTTTTGTTATGCAGTGAATTTCAGACATGTGAGTGTTTCATTATGTATCTCTTTCAGAAAGTACTCTCAATAAACATAACTACAACACCATGATCACACTTAAAATACCTAATGTTATAGTGTGTCTTCATGAATTAAAAAGATGGGCAGGGGGGAAGATAAAGGAACAGAAAAACTAATCGAACAAGCAAGCAAAAACTCAGAAATGCTCAAGTTTTTTGTCCTGATAGTTGGGGGATGGATTTGTTTTCAACTGATAGTAAGGGAAGTTGTGGATAGAAGTGGATTTGGGAGACTCACTTTTTTGGGTACTGCTGGGGATCCAGAGTCTGGTGAATGTTTGGCAAGTACTCCATTGCTGAGATATACTTCTAGTTCTGGGAAATTAATTTTGACAAGACCTCTTTTTATTTTAAAAATATTTAATTTTAGTTTTTATTTGTGTGTGTGTGTGTGTGTGTGTGTGTGTGTGTGT